CAAAAAGCAGAGAAAAAGATGCAAAAATTATTGCTTTTAACTTATTTTTGTTTTTATGCCGTTGCCGTTATTCTGTTTTTTCTTCACTCCTCCTTTTTTTTTTGTCTTTTTTCCAAATCTTTATAGTTTTTATTTAATTATACTTTATTATTTGCTATTAGCACAGAGTTGTTAGTAGCTTTGAAAAAAATAAAAAAAATCAAAAGAAAGAATGCATTAGTATTTTTTTCTTTCTTCTTTTAACCAAATACATTGGATCGAAATGTATTATCTTTTGAAGAACCATATTTAGCCTCATCGCCACCCACCCCACTCCACCCTTTTCTCTTCGGCTTTCTCCTCTGTTTCCTTTTCAGATTTTTTATCCACTTGGAAAAAAAAAATAAATTTGTTATTTTTATTGGCAATTTCAAGTCGTTTTTTCTTTCTACACTTCCATTAAACACACATACTTACATAGAGATACGCATCTATAAGACTAATTCTTTTTGAAGTTAATCCAACTGTTTAAAAGATTTACTAATTTCTAGTGTAGAAAATTTTCTGCGCTTTTCCTCTTTATCGCTTTTGTTTTGTTCGGATAGTTTCTGGAGATTTGAAGTACTAAAATATTTGCAATTTTATCATTAAAATTTTTCTGGTTTAGCAGTAATTTATTAGTCTTTTAAAGATGTTTGTTATATTATAGATCTATTTTTGATCTCAGCTTAGCAATATCAAAACAATAAGCGTTAAAGAGCGAAAACAGCTTTTTTATAATTAATTGTTGCCCGTCACATACTCAACTAATCTTTCTACGTGCTTTCCATCGTCTAAAGTCAAAAATGAAGAACAAAAAAAACAGAGTAGAAAATGATCATATATTGTACAACAACTTACAGAAGCAGAATTAGTTTGACAGTTACAGTGTCGGTAGCTACAGTATATAATAAAAGTCTTCTAGATAGTAAGATAGACGTGACAGCATCAAAGATGACAGTCGTCTGCTAAAAATATAATAAAAATATTGGGAAAACTGAGCCTTTTTTTTTTTCGGTTTTTTCATTAATAAAATTGCTAGGAATAAACTATAGGTACATCTGAAAACAGTGATAAATTTTTTTTTTCTTTATTGAAAACCTAATAGAGCTTATTTTGGTTTACCTTTTTTTGACATGCAGTAATCATCTTTGAAAAATCCTAACGAAACTATTAATAGCCGCTGAAAGCCAAAATTAAAAAATAATTAAAGACGTTTAAAAACTTGAGTAAAATACTTTTTCTGCACTACTGTAACAGCAACAGCAGCAGCAGCAGCAGCAGCAGCAGCAACAGCAACAGCAGTAGCAACAGCAACAGCAACGGCAACGGCATCAGCAACAGCAAAAGCAGCAACAGCAAAAGCACCAGCAACAGCAGCAAGAGNNAGAGCAAGAGCAGCAACAGCAGCGGCAACGGCAACAGCAACAGCAACAGCAACAGCAACAGCAACAGCAGCAGCAGCAGCAGTATAAAAAAAAATGGATGTTACTGAAGTATGAAAAAAAATTTTTTCAAGTTGGAAAAATCAATGTAAGCAAAGAATAATTTATTCAAATTTAATAAAAGAAAAAGAAAGAAAAAGTTTTTTTTTT